CACACGGCGAACGGCTGTGGTTGCCGTGCTCGATGCTGCAGCCTGGCTTGCACTGTCTGACGGCTGCACCTCAGAAACCTGATTGACACGGCCTTTCTCATGCTTTTGCTTAAGCCAGCAATCCTTCTCCAAGTGACCCTTGCGCTCACAGTAACGGCAGGTGCGAGTCTCAGTTGCAGGAGGCGGACCTTTGGGAGTGTTGCCGCCTTTGCCCTTGCCTTTTGGCTTGCCTTAGTTCTTACCACCTTTACCGCCTTGTGGCTTGCCACCATGACCTTTGCCTTTTGGCTTGCCTTTGCCTTTGTCACCTTTGCCCTTAGGCTTGCCCTTATTCCATGCGACACGATCAATCTCCATGGGCGCGGGACCGCCTGAGGACGAAGATGCAATGCCAAACGTGCTGGCAATCGAAGTGCTCCACTTTGTCTGGGAAGTGTCCCAGCGCTCAATCAAATTCCGAAGATCCTGATACGTGGAGCTTTCTGTGATCAAGACGGTGGCCTGGGTCCTGAGTTGTCCGGACAGACATCGGAGAACGGCGGCCAAACGATTGTCGTCTGACATGCTAGTGCCAGTCAAGCCTTCATATTCATTCACCGCACTCTCGAAGCGGGTGAGTTGGGTCATAAGGCCGGTCCGGTTGTCAAATGCGGGCCACGAGTGTATTGCTTGCAACAACGCCAAAATGCGATTGCGCGAACTCGGCATTAAATCTTGACTGAGGATTCTATATGCCTCAAACCCGTTTGCATCTGTCAAGGATTTCAAGACTCGCTTGCCTTTGTCATGCAAGAGCCCGGCTAATACACCGTAAAGAAGTCGGGACCTGTCTGCTTCAGCTTCAGTCAAGGATGCAAGTGCAATCGGATTGGCAGGCCTACGACGGATTGTCTGAAGCTCCACGCCAAATGCTCGATCAAGACAAGACAGGTACTGTTCCAACTCCCAAGACCAATTAGCCCACAGTGAAAGCTCTGCATCCCGGTCCTTGGGACGGAAAGGCTCAGGAGCCTTGAGGACCTTTGCAAGGTCGCGCCCTCGGATCGCCTGCTCCCTAGGCGCTCCATTGTTGTTGGAAACAAGGGTTGTCAGGTTTTCCAACACTTGCATCAACCGCTCCTCGTTCGGCGGTGCTCTGCTTGCAGCAGACGCTGGGGAAAACGGGTTCCCAGGAGGCACAAATGCCCCAGCAGGAGCTCCAAGCTCCTCATCACTATCATCGGCACCCACTGCGGCAGCAGCCGCATCAGCATATATCTCTGCCATTGTTTCTAATCAAGATCAATGGTGCAATCGGAACCTTCGCGGTGCAATGGAACACGAAACGCAGCTGAAGAACTTGCTTGATCAGGCGTTGATTGCTCAAGATCAATGATTTCCGAACTCCCACAAGAAGAAACCTGAGGAAAACCACCTAGACTAGCGACAAGGGACCTCTCAAAGTCCGGCGCCTCGGTCTGGGCGTGCACAAAGGATTCTTGCACTGAAAACGGTATGCAATTGGCAGTACAGATAGCAGCTCCTTCGCAAAAGAACTTCTCCTTCCACTCCTTCTCTCTCAAACACTTGCTTGCAAATTTGTAAAGCTCAGGCACAGTGTGAAATGATTGGGCTCTGGCTTCGCACGCGGCAAAGCTGGTACGCAAAATGCGCACAAAGGACTCCCTGCTTCTACCCTCGGGCTGAGGTCTCGCCCAAAGCTGCTCCTCGTACACAGACAAGAGAAGCTCACGCAGCAATTCCACTCCTGCTAAGGTTGTCGTGATTTATTGTTCAAGCAAACAAAGCTCGCGGCAGCTATGGCTCGTCCGGTCGGCGCCGGGATTGCGAAGCTACGGCACTACAGCCTAGGTTCACCGAAATCACGCAACACACTCAGAGGAACGCTGCCACAGCCTAACAGCCTGGGCCCCTGAACTCAAGCCCACAAGAAGTCCACGTGTCCCGAAGCTGGGTCGGCCCAGCTCCGCTACCATGAACAAACTTCGGACTTTTGCAAGTACTCTGAGCCTGAAAGTCACGACGATCACACATGCTTCGCATGCTCTCCGAGAAAACTACACGAGTGGTCAAAAGCTACCAAAACTGTTCTAGCAAAATAAGAGTACAGGGCATAGGGGAAAATGTTGATCATGATAAGATGAGAATAAGCAAAGAAAAATCTCCACACCGGCCCTTTCGCAAGACAGCGTCAAGGCAGGCAAGGAAGCGTACTAGCTGTAGTAAGATGCTGCAATGTATGCAAAACGCTGCAACGTGTTTTCCCTTTCTTCTCCCTTTCGAGCCAAACGAGGCAGGCAAACAACAGACACCAGTATAGGAAGATGACTGGCACATGCAAAAACAAATCTCGCTTCCGAGCCTGCAGAGCGCGCGGCTCTTGCAGCTTTTGCTGCGACACCGGCTCATCGGCCTGACAGCTATACTTCACTTCAGAGCACAAAACATCCCACCTGGCGACGACTCTGACGCCTCGCTGCAACAGAAGCTGACATGGACAATCATCCGGAACGCCAATTCCCCGTGAAGCCCGCTCCCCGAATCTCGCTTCCGAGCCTGCAGAAGTCGTCGGCCAGGCAGCGGCGCGGCGCGCCGTCGCAAGACAGCGTGCGCGCCGTACAAGCGCATGAATATATGTGTCTATCTATCTATCTATCTATATATATATATATATATATATATATATATATATCTATATATATATATGTGTATATATGTGTATATATGTGTATATTATTCTTATCGATATATGCATTTGCCAATGCCAATCCCTCCGAAAGGTTGCCAATTGACCTGTTGCACACCTACCGATTAGAACAATCAAGAAGCAAAGCAAATCCCTCTCAAGCCAATCCCTGTGAAGGGTTCCGCGGGCACCGCAAAATGTGTAACTTCACCTCGCGTTCGAGCACTCGACAACACCAATCTGTGTGAAGGGTTCAAAATTCATCTGAATGCTCATCAAAAATTGCAACTTTACCTCGCGTTCGAACACTGGACCACGCCTATCCCTGTGAGGGGTTGCAAAATTCATCTCAATGCTCATCAAAAAATACAACTTTACCTCGCGTTCGAACACTCCACCACGCCAATCCCTGTGAAGGGTTGCAAAATTCATCTCAATGCACATAAAAAATTGCAACTTTACCTCGCGTTCGAACACTCGACCACGCCAATCCCTGTGAAGGGTTGCAAAATTCATTTCAATGCACATCAAAAAATGCAACTTTACCTAGCGTTCGTGCATTCGACCATGCCAATCCCTGTGAAGGGTTGCAAAATGCAGTTGAGCTGCGCCCAAACCCTGTGAAGGGTTGCGCGGCGCCCGCAAAATGTGTAACTTTACCTCGCGTTTGAACACCCGAGGAAGCGAATCCCTGTGAAGGGTTCACGGCGACCGAAAAATTTGTAACTTTACCTCGCGTTTGGAGGCGAATCCCTGTGAAGGGTTCACCCGCGCGCCTAAAATGTGTAACTTTACCTCGCGTTTGAACGCCCGAGAGTTCCAATCCCTGTGAAGGGTTGCGCCGGGCGCCTAAAATGTGGAACTTTACCTAGCGTTTGAACGCCCGAGGCAGCGAATCCCTGTGAAGGGTTGCGCCGGGCGCCTAAAATGTGTAACTTTACCTCGCGTTTGAACGCCCGAGGCAGCGAATCCCTGTGAAGGGTTGCGCCGGGCGCCTAAAATGTGTAACTTTACCTCGCGTTTGAACGCCCGAGGCAGCGAATCCCTGGGAAGGGTTGCGCGGGAACCCTAAAATGTGTAACTTTACCTCGCGTTTGAACGCCCGAGGAGGCGAATCCCTGGGAAGGGTTGCATTCCCGATGGACGACAACGGTGCCACCCCTGGCTTTAGAAGAGAGAATTAGATACCGAGATGTAGAGAGTAAGTCATAGAGGCATAGAGTCAAGTAAGTAAGTAAGTAAAAGTAAGTAAGTAAGTAAGTAAGTAAGTAAGTAAGTAAGTAAGTATAAGTAAGTATAGAGATAGCATAACATAGAGTCCAGTGTCAAGTGTCAAGAAAGTAAGTAAGTAGAGTGAAGTAAGTAAGTAGAGTGAAGTAAGTAAGTAAGTAAGTAAGTAAGTAAGTCGTAAGCATAACATAGAGTCAAGTGTCAAGTGTAGAAGAGTCCAGTGTCAAGTGTCAAGTAAGTAAGTAAGTAGAGTGAAGTAAGTAAGTAGAGTGAAGTAAGTAAGTAAGTAAGTCGTAAGCATAACATAGAGTCAAGTATCAAGTGTAGAGTCAAGTATCATAGAGTCAAGTGTCAAGTGTAGAGAGTCAGTCATAGAGGTCAAGTAAGTAAGTAAGTAAGTATCAAGTGTAGAGTCAAGTATCAAGTGTAGAGTAAAGTATGGAGTCAAGTAAGTTGATTCTATGTCTGTCATCTATGTACTCAACTGCGGCGTTCCACACGGAAGAACCCTTCGCGATGCTTTCGGGAAAAAAGCTATAAACACCATCACAGGGCTGGGCGGGTGGGTCAAAATTTTAAAGCATGGAGCGAAGCTTGATGCTATGCTGAAGCACGCGTGTCTTGGGCCGAAATGTTGTGTTTGGAACATGGTAAAGTAAAACACCCATGAGTAAACACATGAAACGTTCAACTTTACCTAACCCAAGACACGCTACGAGCTACAGAGCAAAGCAAGCAGAGAGACTATTTTTGACTTTGCCGGAAACGCGAGAAGTAAGTTGAAGCTGCAAGCCAAAGCTAAGCAAAGAAAAGCTACAACGAAGCTTCGAGAGTTTAGACCCACAGTTTAACCGGCAAAGTCAAAGTCTCGCCCTACGGTTCCCCAAAGTGAAAAGTGAGGGTTTGACGCGCTCGCTCAGTGAAACGCTGCACCCCGGGCAAACTTCCAGCGGGCGTAAAGCAGCACCATGCCACCCCGGGCAATCATCCTGCGGGTGGTGAGCATGTGCTGCACCCCGGGCAAACATCCTGCGGGCGTAAAGCAGCCAGACAAGTACCCCGGGTAAAGATCCTGCAGGCACTGTCACAAGTCATCATCTGACACATGTCTTTCCTGTGTCCCAGCTGGCAAAGAAAAATGAGAAGGCCACACCAGGACCTCCTTGCGAAAGAACCAGATGAACTTGAGAGAGCAATCCACCCGGTCTTCTATCTTCCACTTATCAGGTAAAGCGTCAGTTTGATTCCACCTGCTCAACAGATCTGCATCATCGTTCTTCTCACCGGCAATGTGAGAGATATCCAGCTCGATCCCCGACGCTGCTGATATCAGGGAAAGTTTCTGAGCAAACGCTCCCAGAGGCCACTTAGATGTGTAAAGTTTCGCTCCGAGAGCCTCGGTTGAGGCATTGTCAGAAAAGGAAGGCAAACGCACCGCCACACGACCTGAAGGAAAGACAGATCTGTACACGTGTACCAGAGCAATCTGTGCCAAAGTTTCGTAACAGGCAATATCTTTGTGCGCAGGTCGGCGGAGTTCAAGGCCAAGAACGGACAAATCTGAAAGCTGCCAGGCCTGTGAAAACCAAATGCACTTCTGAGATGGAAAAGCAATAAACCCGCCGATGCCGATGAGATCTCCATCTGCTCTTGCATCCGCAAAGGCCTCGACCTGGAGTCGCAAAGGGACTGAAAGAGCAGTGTAAGGCTGAGGCCGCTGACACCATTCCTTCCAGAACGAAAGGAAGGTTCGCGAGGCTGGTGACAAAGAACGTCGGTCGGATTTAGGATTCGTCACTCGCATCCAGATCCGATTGGAAGTACGGACCTTGCAAAGGTCTAGCTTGGTTTTAAGTTCTGTGCGACGAGCTTCCAGCAACTTGCCCCCGAGGGGCACTTGAGTGCCTGGAGGTACAGAAGTAAATCGAAGGTCATCATCCAGGTAGTTAGCCAAAGAAGGCCAGAGTCCCTGCGAGATGCTGTACTGCGATGCCAAGTGTCGATGCAGGTCCGAGAAAAGCGCTGCTAACCAAGGCTTGCAGGATCTGTAAAGCTGGCAGAACCACTGCAGAAGTCCCACCAACTTGTGCAGCAAGGCACTTGTAACTCTCCTGGACCGTGTGACCTCTTTGATCAAGTTGAAAAGCTTATCAACTTTTTCTTGGGGAATATGAAACGAGCCACTGGTAAAGTTGAAAGTCCAACCGATCCAGGTGATGCAGCTCCCCAACTGTAACTTGGCCCAGCTGAGGGGTACGCCAAATATGGAGGTAAAGCAAAGTAAGAGTGAAGCTGAATACAGGGTGCATTCCCGGTCCTGGATGAAAAGAAAATCATCGACGTAACCCATGAGGGCGTGGCGCACAAAGATCCAGAGATGCATGAGGCGTAAAAGCATTCCAGCTAACCGTTGAAACCACAAAGCGGAAAAATTTGCACCGAATGGACAAACTCGATAAAAGAAAAGTGAACAAACTTCGGACTTTTGAAAGTACTCTGAGCCTGAATGTTACGTCGATCGTACATGCTTCGCATGCTCTCCGAGAAAACTACACGAGTGGTCAAAAGCTATCAAAACTGTTCTAGCAAAATAAGAGTACAGGGCATAGGGGAAAATGTTGATCACCCCGCCCGGACATCCCCAGTAACTTAGACTGGAAGATGTTCGCATCAACATACAGCGTACGATACATCACAGTAGCGACCACTTCTCACTACAGTATACACACGGCTCAACAAGTCAACGTAGCTACGATCTAAAGTCGTCTGTACACTACGCACACTCCATCAAAGGCTCAGACAGCCGATGACGAAATGCAAGCTTGACTCACCCAAGCGTAGGCGTTGCAAGTTCAAGCGCTCCTGTCAAGAACCAAACAATTCATGGCGGATCATGCATCATGCTTAACATTGATGCCCGGGATTATAGCGGCCTAGTTACCGCTGAAAGCTCACTGAGAAAGTATCACAGCCAGCCCCCAGAAAAGCTGCCGAGAGAGGGCGACGAGCCCCCCCGTTGATGTCCAGGAAAAAGCCTGAGCCGGGTTCCGAGACCGAGCATGCAAAGTTCTGAGGAGCACTCTGTACCACGGGCTCCGGGGGAGTAACACGCGGCTGTGGAAAAGGAGCATCTCCTGGAGCATCTGCAGGCAAAGTAACTGGAACCAGGCCTTCCCTGCCTGCATCATCAAGACCCGGTCCCCCTCAAGAGCCTGCCTTTTGTGCATGCTGAAAAGCAGGATGCTTCTGCAGGCAGATCTTACCATTCTCCAAGATCACGGGGCAAAGGTGCTCAAATTTGCAATTGGTAAATTTGCAGCCTTTGTGGGTACTCTATGCCATACAAAGTACCTTCTGCTCGCCATTGATCTTCGCTTTACTTGCCCACTCGAAGGCATGTGTGCCTTTGGTAAAGGTGGATTTCCCCTTTCCTGTACCGGCACCTCCTTTGCCTCCATTGGCCTTCCCATTACCTTTATGGGGTTGGCCCTTCCAAAGTTCCTTGCCTTTGCCGTCGCCTTTCTTGCCCTTGAAAGGAGCAAGACGGGGAGCAAGTAAAGCGACCAACTCAGCACGAACATCCGTGAACTCATGCAAAGCATCATCGACCGACCAGCCCTCCTGCCTGAGCTGACCGACGACCTCCCAACATCGACGATCTGCTGCTTCGCACTCCTGTGCGTTTGGCGGACGCAAAGTTGGGTCTGTTCTCGCCTGAACATGTTTCAAGAACTTGCGCTCATAGGAACGTAAAGTAGCAAGATGAGCAACGTCCGCAAGCGCGAGGGCGTTGGAATGTGTGGAAAGTAAATTGCTTATCCCATATAGTCCCATATTCTCCGCAACATTACGCGAGGGCACGTCGTCGTAAAGAACGTCGGTAAAGTTCTCAAATCTTGCCAACTTCCTGGGCCGAGCCGAGTTGTAATCCTCTTCTTGTTGTTTGGAAAGTCTGTGTTTCCAGGAAATGAACTTCCAGTCCGACGTGCCTTTCAGCCTGTAAGCGAGGGAAAGCAAACGCGCACTCGGAAAGTTGGAATCATCGTTTCGGTGGAGAGCTTGGGAGGGAAGGTCTCCGCCCACGAGGAATGCAAAGTACTCGCAGAGGAATCTGAGGCCACTGACGGTAAAGTACATATCTTGTGAGCCTGCACCCACAGCATCCTGAGAACAGGGAGCTCATCGGCATCAGGAGACCAGCCTTTGGATGCCAGGAAAGCATCGAGACCTTCCAAGTTCACGGTGCCAAGGCCAAAAGAAAGCAAAGTCAAATCACCGAGAGCTACTGCCGATGCCGGAATCGAGAGTTGCAAAGCTGTGGCCAACTGCTGCACCGTAGATCTCGAGGATAAAGAGTCCATGGCCTGACAATCACACGGGTGGCAGAAGCTATGCATGACCGTGTCGCAAAGGTTCACCAGAGCACGCCGAATCTTTTATTGAGAAGCAAAGTAGGTCGGTGACGCGCGCTGCTGGGTCCCAGACGCAAAGAAAAGGGCCGGAGGCCCATGCAAAGCTGAGCAAGGTATACATATAGGAAGCATAACGCTAAAGTAAAGTAGTAGCTGTGGGAACCCAGCATTGACGCAATTAAAGGAACTTCACAGCCAGAAAAAGCACCATGGAGGACGCGTCTGGCAGTAAAGTACTCAGCTACTGCCCATAAGCATTGCAAAAAGTATTGCGCCCCTGACGTCGACGGTATTCTGGGTACCCTTCCAAGGCAACACACAGTGGTGAAGATCAGGGGCAAAATACAAGGGAGAATTCTACGTGCTGTGGGATCCACCAGCAACAACCTTGCCGTTGTCCTTAGACTGGGTATCCGGGCCTTGGCCGGGCATCCCCTCAACCCACAACAAACCTCCCGAAAAGTCCCCGAAACTAATCGCAAAGTTCTCACGTCCCTTGAAATTCCGTGAATCTGCATGCAACAATGATTTGGCGTCACGATTCACCGCGATTGAGGTCCATGTGAAGCCGCGACTTGCATGTTTGCTGATCCACTCGTTCATGTACCGACAAGCAAGAGGAAACCGTGTAGTGATGTTGGTGATCCCTTGCATGGAACTGAACGAAAAGAAACCCCAATTGTGATAGTAGGATTCATCATTCGTGGTAAGCCGAGACTTGCGCCTCTTGCTTACCTTCACTGGGAATTCTGACGCAACTGACTGCAGTCCTTCAAAGCTGAAATCCTTCGCTTCAAGAAGACCCTGCGCGATAGCTTCAAGCTGTGGCCTGCCATGACTGGCGGCTGCAATCTGAGGTTTCGCAATCAAGTGACTGTCCGAATACCTTTCTTGGCAACATCAGGACACAGATTATGATTGATCAACCTGAGAGCGTGAAGCCACTTAGTCTTCTCAGCGAAAAGTTTAGTATAGATGTCGGCAACTTGTTCGAGCGCGTCAACATTGATCATGTCAAAATGTTCCACTTCGAACTGCTGCTTCAACCATCCAAAGCTAATGTTCTGGGTGCGGTCAGTGTGTCGCATCTTTTCACTGTCACCTTTGTGGACAATTGTGATCGTTGCCTGGTTGTCCTCAAGGAACTGAACACGAAACTTATCACTCAAGCCCACGTTCAAACCTTGAAGGTTAGCAACCGATCGCCCACCTGGATTACCCCCGTACCTGATCTCGTCAAGTTCGGGGTCAACTCTCGCTATAACACCGTCAATCTTGATGGGTGGAGGTCGTTTTGGCCTAACCTGGTGGTTGGCTGAATTGATCTCACCTGGACAGCCCCCCATCGGTTGATAACCGACGTGACCTAAACACAAACCGATGTAGGCCATCCCGGGCTCCCAGCGGTTAATCGAACATCCCAGCGGTTATTTGATATCCCAGCGGTTATTTGATTATCCCAGCGGTTAATTGTCCCAGCGGTTAATTCCAGCGGTTAATTGTCCCAGCGGTTAGTCCCAGCGGTTCATCCCAGCGGTGAATTGTCCCAGCGGTTAATCCCAGCGGTTAATTGTCCCAGCGGTTAATCCCAGCGGTTAATTCACATCCTAGCGGTTATATATCCAAAGGTTCGGGATCCCAGCGGTTAGTGAAGGTGCCAACGGCCGTACGAACATGGTGTTAATGAACTTGTGTGGCGTGGCGAGGTGCCAACGGCCGTACGAACATGGTGTTAATGAATTTGTGCGGCGTGGCGAGGTGCCAACGGCCGTTCTCTGCCTCCGGACGGGTGGCGCAAAGCAGCCAAACCTTCACCTACTACTACTACTACTACTACTACTACTACTACTACTACTGCTGCTACTACTACTACTGCTACTACTACTACAGCTTCTGCAAACACTGCTTGGGCTTTCGGTGCTTCAGCTTCTGCAAACACTGCTTGGGCTTTCGGGGCTTCAGCTTCTGCAAACACTGCTTTGGCTTTCGGGGCTTCAGCTTCTGCAAACACTGCTTGGGCTTTCGGTGCTTCAGCTTCTGCAAACACAGCTTGGCTTTCGGAGCTTCAGCTTCTGCAAACACTGCTTGGGCTTTCGGGGCTTCAGCTTCTGCAAACACTGCTTGGGCTTTCGGGGCTTCAGCTTCTGCAAACACTGCTTGGGCTTTCGGTGTTTCAGCTTCTGCAAACACTGCTTGGCTTTCGGGGCTTCAGCTTCTGCAAACACTGCTTGGCTTTCGGGGCTTCAGCTTCTGCAAACACTGCTTGGGCTTTCGGGGCTTCAGCTTCTGCAAACACTGCTTGGGCTTTCGGTGTTTCAGCTTCTGCAAACACTGCTTGGCTTTCGGGGCTTCAGCTTCTGCAAACACTGCTTGGCTTTCGGGGCTTCAGCTTCTGCAAACACGGTTTGGCTTTTGGTGCTCTTGACAGCATATTATGCAGGAGTCTTTGTTGACTAGCTGTCACAATCAAACATGTACACGTACGGCGTGGCGAGGCGCCAACAGCCATTACAACTCACGGTGGGCGGCACTTCAATCGCAACCAACCAACCGACCGACCAACACTCCAGCACATGCATCAAGCCAGGCACACAACCACCATCCAACACATGCATCAAGCCAGGCACACAACCACCATCCAACACATGCATCAAGCCAGGCACACAACCGACCATCATCCGGCCGAGTGCTCGCTGCACTGCTGGGGTTTCACCTGCATCTCGATACACCTGGTATCCGTGCTCCAGAATCTGCTCAGCTTGAAGGAGGGCCTGTCGGAGCTGGGCGCTTTTGAGGCGGTCCAGATCCTGCTTGACAAGCAGACGGGCTGTGCCGTCGACAACTTTCGGGCTTGTGAGCTGACAAGCTAAGAGGGCGGCTCGCAGCAATGGGAACTGAGTCGAGGGCTCCTGCAGATCCCAAGCCGTAATGGCCTTAAAAGTTTCCTCTCCTACTGCAACAGTAAGGGCCAAATCCCTGGCAAAAC